CATAGCAATTGCTTCCCGTCGCCCAAGGGGCACTGGTAATGGGTGTAGCTCGCCGAACGGACGATGGTTGCGTGACTTGCAACGCCGACAGACTTCGCACGACTCACAATAGCGGGTGGCGTCCTTGAGAAGGTCGGGCCAATAGAACCGCTAGCGAAGTCGGCCAAGTGTACGGTTGACACCAAAATGTCCGGAGGCGGGCGCATCGTGAAACTCGCCAAGAAGCCGTGTGCGCAAGTATGAATCATTCGGCACACGAAGAAGATCCTTACTCCGTGAATGCACAAGTAAGTAGCCCTTTTGGATCCGATAATGCGAAGGCACTGGATTCGGAGAGGAGCGATTCGCGTACTTGTCGCGAAGGCTTGATAGCCGCGGATGAAGCTCTCTCGCAAGTCGTCGTCGATCTCGAAGGTAGAGTAGACTGCGGTGCAAAGATCCGGTCGCCGTGAGAGGGCGTCCGCAAAACGGTTTGACTTTCCAGGAATGTGATCGGGGAAAAAGTCAAACTGGTCGATGAAAGCCATCCAATGGGCAATGGTACAGTTAATCGTGTCTTGTGACTTGTAGAATACCAACGGATTGTTATCCGTTACCCATCGGAATGCTTTCCGACCAAGGAGGAAATGTCGCCAACGCTTGAGGGCGTGGACGAAGGCAAGAAGTTCCTTCTTCCGTGCGTCGTCGATCGAATGCACGGGAGGTACTTTCTTGCTGAAGTWCTCGACCGGGTATCAGTCYGTGCCATCGTGCTGCTCAAGGACGGCCCCAATGCCATAGCCCGACGCATCGGTAGTGACGYGCGTAGCTAGAAGCGGGTCGTAAATATGTAACACCTCGGCGGACAAGAGTGYCGCTTTGAGTGTCTCAAAAGAATGGCGCKCGTTGTCGTCRAAGTCAAAAGGCCGCTCCTCGCTTTGTAACTTGCTTAGGTTGGCCGCGATCTTCGAGTAACCCTTGATGAAGCGCTGATAATAACCGGCCAAGCCGAGGAAGGATCGGACGTCCGTCACATTTTCGGCTCGGGCCACTCCTGGATGGCTTGAATCTTGTCCGCCAACGRACGAATGCCTTCCGGAGAGAAAAAATGACCCAAGTATTCAAACTCTTGTCGGACAAACTTGCATTTGTCGCGGTTAGCTTTGTACCGGGCTGACCGAAGAGTCTCTAGAACACGGCGAAGGTGCTCGAGATGCTCCTCTAAAGTTCGGCTATAGACGAGGATATCGTCTAAGTAGACCAAAACGAAGCGGTCCAACATAGCGCGAAACTCGATGGTCATGGCGGCCTGAAAGGTGGCCGGGGCATTGGTGAGGCCAAAAGGCATAACTACCCACTCAAAATGCCCATATCGCGTCTTAAATGCGGTTTTGTACCGATCTTGCGGGCGGATGGAAATCTGATGGTAGCCCGACTTGAGGTCCAACTTCGAAAAGTACTTTGTGCCGCCCAACCGCTCAAGCAAATCGTCAATGCGAGGTAGAGGCCCCGCGTTCTTGATGGTTTGCACGTTGAGGCGTCGGTAGTCAATGCAAAGTCGAAGGTCCTTGTTCTTCTTCCGAACGAAGAGAAYGGGCGCACCGTAAGGTGAGCTGCTAGGGCGGATCCAACCCTTGTCGAGTATATCGTCGAGTTGCGCACGGAGAACCGCGAGCTCCTCCTCGGACATGCGATAAATGCATCCTTTCGATGGCACGACGCCGGCCTCAAGCATGATCTCGTGAGAGATTGGCCGGTCCGGCACTATACCGGAGGGTGTCTCAAAAACATCCGAGAACTCGTCTAACAACCGGGTCACACGGGGGTCGGAAGACACCTCTGTGGACGATGAATCGGTCGTCGGGACGGTTCGAAGCAAAGCGATGCCAATCTCTTCGACATGCTCGGAATGGCATGTGTCTCGAAAAGATTTGGCACTCACGACTTGGCACCTAATGGAAGAGCAAGGAGGAGGAATAGTACACGGGACCTCGGCGCCAGTTGCATCACGAATCGTGAGCGTGCGTTGATGGAAATTGACTGTGTGGTCCGCGCTAGAAAGCCAAGGCATCCCCAAAATGACATCGAAGTCGGTGTCCAACACGTCAAAAGTGACGGGTTCACATGCGTGCGGTGCAAAGTACACCGGGACAGCCGAGATGTAACGGTCTAAGAGCTGTTTCGTCTTACCGTCGGCAAGAGCGACCGTCGTCGGATGTRACTTCCTCCGTACTTGTGCGCCAAGGCCAGCCCGAGTCATGAAGGACTGGCTGATGAAGTTGCGAGTTGCGCCGCAATCTAGTAAAGCGTTGCAGGCCGCTTGCCCAATCTGAATGCGAACGGAGAGCAACGGTGCGTTGTTTTCTTCGTACCGTTGCGAGACAAACTCGCGGGCCACCTTGGCAACGTAGCCAAGCATGTCCCCCACCGCGACTTCGTCTACCGTCGGCGAAGTTGGTGGTGCATGGAAGGAAAGATACTGGTGTAAGAGGGCGTATAGGGCTGCGCTTTGCGGCTGCGGAAGGTTGCCCGTCGTAGGGAGAGGAATCCAAGCGAAGTCCTCGGGCGTGAGCGGGTCCAAAGCCTTCTCGTTGAACATGCTTGCCGAATCTCTTGATGAAGACGAACTGGCGGAAGAACCTTCGGACGGTGAGAAAGCCGCACATGTATCTTGTCCTTGAGAAGCATCCAGAGAAGGAACGAGCCGGGCAGCGAAGTCTTCGAACGAAAGTGGAAGACTCCCGACATCCGCATATGCCTGGGAAGAAAGGGCGGTCGTGCGCACAACCGCTTCCGATGACGTTGAGGGAGGTGTCGAGTCACCCTCGGCGGCGCCTATTTTCCCAGACGGGGTTTCCCCTTGGTGGGGCAATGTGCAGCATCGTGGATGGTGTTGTTGCACCAAAGGCAGTAACTGTACTTGAGTCTCGTCCGATAAGAATTCGCCGAGAGTCCGTATTGTGCCCAAGGTTCGTCGGCGGCTGATCCGGTACTCGGTGTAGAGGTGGACTAAGTCAAGGTTCGTCGGCGGCTGATCTGGTACTCAGTGTAGAGGTGGACTAAGTCTTCGTCTTGTCGCGGCCGTGGTTGTTGCACGGCCGGCCACCATCCCGGGCAGCTGCCAACACTTCACCCTCGTTTGGTGTTGCAGCCTCGGTAGAAGTAATGCAAGCCACCTTTGGCTTGGGCTGGGTGCCGCTCGTCGTAGCGGAAGATCGACCGGCGTTGCGGGCTTCGATATTCGTGAGAATGATCGGTGACACGGTGCTGAAAAGCTTGTCGGATGTGTTGAGTGTCTCTGCAATCTGCGTCAGCGCGTTTTGCAGAGTTGTACACGAGCGCATGATAAACAAGTGCTATATGGCGCGGAAAGCAAGCGGCAGGTCAGGTGTGGAGGCGAGTCCTTGGAACTCGGTAATCCAGTCCTGACTGAGCAGCGTGTTCTGATGGAGCTTGTTGAGCTTGTCCATCGCTTGCAGGTCGGGCGGCTCCACTTGGAATCGCTTGTGCYAGGYGTCAGTCAACTCCTGCCAAGTGAGCTTGGTGTGCACTTCCGACACTGCTACGCCGTGGCTGGTCAAGATGTTGTCGAGCCATGCTTGACATGCACCACCAGATCGGTGGTACAAGCACGGATGTTGATCGTTGTTCGGGACATGCTGCATGTCGAGCCTGCGAGTAAACTGGCGCCACCACGGGATCCGTTCCGTCTTGGACTGATCGTAGAAAACTGGAATGTCATCTTGTTTAGGTGGGCGCCGGGAGGATGCGGCGGCGGGCGTCACGGTGGCAGCAGCCTGGACCTGCGTCTCCAACTGCAAGTTCGTTGCTTGCTGCGACGTCCGGAAGTCCTGATGCACACGCTTGATGTTGCTGACGTCATCCTCCAAAACTTGCACACGGGTGGTAAGGGTGGAAGGCCCTGCGGCTGCTACAGCAGCTGACTGTTTCTCCAACGCCTGCAGCCGTGCGAGCATCTGGTCCACTGTCTGTTGCAGGTGAAGGATTTCCTCCTGCTGCAGAGCGCAGGTGGCCACGAGGTCGTGGGAGACCTGCGCAAGGGTTGACAGCCCTTTCTGAGTCTCCGGGGCCCCGTCTGCAGATGTCACTTCCACCCAATGTGCGGCCTCATCGCCGATCACGGTCTCCCGCGTGAATAGTCGTTCCCGCTGGCGTGACCGGTGTTCGGCTGCCGCCTGCAGGTCTGCCTCTTCCTGACGAAGTCGGTCCTGTTCCTCCTTCTGTCGCTTGGCCTCCTCCTCTCGTTCGAGCCGATTACGTTCCTTGGCCGCGGCGGCAGCCCTATCGTTGGCCTCCTGAATGACTGCGGCCAGGCGTTCCTCATAGGCCCGGAGGGATTCTCCCGCCTTCCGGTCCATGGCCTTGGTCTGTGATCGAGTGAGCAGTGTCATGCACTGCTGTGCCCGGAGTTGGAAGAGTCACCCGAGGGCCAATCTGATGGACTGACCCAGTACCCGGACTGGAGGGGGAGGAATAGGTAGGAAGTAGACAAGTCGGAAGGATCGGACAGAGCCCAATTTGAACAGTTTCCTAATCAAAAAGAACAAAAACGAAACTTTAAAATTCGGAAAAAGTATGTCCAATCCCACTGAGTACCGAAGGTGATGCAGAAAGCAAATGTGAAACTTCGGTGCTCGGACTGCAGAGAATCGGAACGGAAAAAAATTCTCGAAAACCAAATTTCTCGGATAAATAATTTTTCGGAAAAAAATAAGAATTTTTTGAAAAAACAATTCTCGAAAAAAGAAATAATTTCTCAAAAAAAAAAAATTCTTGGAAAAAGAAATAATTTCTCGGAAAAAATAAATAAATAATTAATTCCGAGAAATTTCCAAGATTAAATAAACAATTACCAAATAATCAATCAACCTAATTAATCAATCAATCAATCAATCAATCAATCAGTCAGTCTCAGATGATTGTTGGTTGATTGATCGATTGTTCGATCAATCTCCTGATTGACTGATCAATCAATCGAAGATTGGTTGGTGGCAAACCACCAATCCAATCAATCAATCGATTGATTGGTTGTTGCCAAGATTCATCGCACTAGCTCCGATACCACTTGTAGCATATCAGAAAGTGAAAT